AAAGCTATGCCGGGCGCGCGCGTGCAGTGCTGTACGGACGACGGAGACAGCGGACAACCACGGTGACGGCGATTGCGACTGCGACGGCGGCGGTGGCAGGCGGCGGCGGCGGAGCGACGAATGCATATGTATCCGCGTGCGTGCTGCTGCGGTAATTTTCCTTTTTATTTTTATTATTATTATTATTAATTTCGCGGCGTGTTGTGCATCGCCGTGTAATAGTCGTCGTCGTCGTAGTCGTCGGGTGCCGGTGCCGGTGCGGTGGCCAGGTGACACTGAAACGTAAATTCGAAAGCAGAAACCTTGTATCCCACCGCGGACGTGACGGCGCCGAGGCCGACCCGGCCCGGCACGCCGCCGCAACGTTCGGCGTGTTCTGGCGCGCGCGCGCGGCAGGGGAAGGATTGATCCGCAATGGCCACGTCTCACGCGTTTCTCCAAAAATTAAAATTAACACTAAACAAAATAAACCAATTTTTATTTTATTTATTAAAAGCTTTATGATATACCGTTTATATTATATAGATTATATTATATTGTTTATGAACATTAGGAATAGAGAAGATATATGATGATGACGCAGAGGTGAAGAGATATTATTTGATTGATATTATATGTTGATTATTTATAATGATGTATATTGATTTAGTTGATATGAAGATAGCATTTGAGATATTAGCGCAGATAATAGCGTTTATCGCAAAATTCATTATACATTGCCATTAAGGCGTGTAGGTATTTTATAAAACGTTTATTATATTATATTTTATAAACGTTTCATACAGTAGATTAAGTCAAATTACGATTTAGTTTTTAAATTGTGGTGACACGCCGCAAACGATTTTCAACACTATACATTATCATGCGTATTGAATGGAGAAAAATAAAAATAACCGATGTTTATAATAAAAGGAATATTGAGACGGCACGGCGGGCCTTTATAACATACATATAAAAAATACATATTATTAACACTAAAATAAAATAAAACCGAATTATATTATTAATAACGTTTCTTCTCTACCGTATACCGTTTTATATTATTATAATGTATTATACATGTATATTTAATATGTATATTATAAGGTACCACCGTGCCGTTTCAATATTCGTTTTATTATTTCGGCACTTATATATACATATACCTACTATTAACTATATATGTATAAATGCATATTGTTAT